GGGCCGAGAGCCGCCCTTTGTAGGCCGCGCTAGGCCGGGCGGCGCGGGACCCGGAAGACATGCTCGGGGAGTGCGGGGCGGGAGCGGGGCGTGCGGTGACTGGCTGTGCGTGCTCGAGCGTGTGCGGGGCCGGGAGGGCGCGCGGGGCTTCCCAGGGAGAGAGCGCGGGGTTCCGAGCGCGTGCGGGCTCCGAGGTGGGAACCGATGTGCCGGGAGGTGTGGGTGGTGGTGCCAGGGGGATGCCCGTGGGCATGGGAGAGGCCAGGGCCTTTCACGTGGGGCGTGGAGAGGGGTGGGAGTGGGAGGGAGCACTGCGGGCTGCGGCCGGTGTGTTCCCGTTCAGGGCTGGGCACCTGCCCGTCCCGGCCTGCTGTACGCTGCAGGGTGTGGGTGGGCGGCAGAGGTCAGCTGGGCCCGGACAGGTTGTTCCTGGGTCTTGAGAGCCAGGGCCTGGAGCCCCCCTCCACAACGGGCAGCGGGAAGGAGCGAGTCTGAAGCCCACGGGAGTGCCCCTTGGGCAGGCAGGTTGCCTTGGGTCCTGCTCTGGTGCCTCCTTGTCAGGATGTGGTCTGTCTGTGCGTCTGCTGGTGTGGGCCATTGGTTTTCCCCAGCGCCAGGTCCTGGAGCCGCAGCCAGACCAGTGGGGCCTTTAGCAATGGAGACAGTAGAGAGGAAAACACGTTGGTCCTGGGGTCTGCCCCGCCGGCCAGGACAATTTAGCAAGGGTTCCTATGGGGCTGCTCTTTGCATTTCTGTGGGAAGAAATTGGGGCCCTTAGACCCCAGGCCTGTTTTGGAGAGTGCATGCAGCCAGAGCCAGTGTCAGGATGGTCTTCAGGAACATGTGTTCAAGGGTGGGAGACGGCGGAAGACGAGGGCTGGCTCGTGCGAGGTATCGGCTTCATTAATTCCCAGGGTCAGGAAAGCCGAGTGTCCTTTCCCGGCTGTCCTGGTCGTTGAGAATTTAGTGGCACTAATTACAACTGGTAGTGACCCTTCAAAGTTCAGTCGGGGACAGTGGGAGAAGGGCAGGCTCTGTCTTTCACACGGCGGGTGAGTCAGGAGCTACGAGGTCGTGTGCAGGTCTGCGGCACCGAGCGTGGCCGGCCGGTGTTTGTGAGGTGGTGACCGAGGGGGTCATGCGTACGGCTTCAGACCTGGAGGGTCCTTCTCTGGGCTCGCCGTGTTGAGGGTGGCTAAGGCTGTGGGCCAGATTCAGTGCTCGTGGGCATATGACTGAGCTGGATTAAAAGCCGCCTCATGTGGCGTGTGCGTGTGTGCACTGACGCTCCGTGTGCTTCCTTGTGAGAGTTCAGAGGTCTGGGGACTTGGAGCGGGTTGGATGTCGTGGTTTATAGGGGTGTCAGAGGACACCACAGCTCTAAGTTGACAGCCAAACGCAGGTGAAAATTGTAAGGGGTTTTTCCTCTGGGCTCTGAAACAGTTTGAAATCGTCAGGCAGACCTGTTAACACGGGGGTCAGCACTGGTCCTGGCGTCTCTGGCCAGTGTTCGCGGAGCATGCTTGCTTGTTCCTCGCTGCCGTCATCCCTCCCGGGGTGGGGGTGGGGGCGCGAGAGGGCAGACCCAGAAGCAGGGGCTCTGTGGGCTCCCGTCTTGCCGGGGTTGAGCCCTGCTACAGGTGAGTGCAGGAGACGGCATCCCAGATGCTGCCGCTGTGCCGGCACGCCGTCCGGTGACTCCCGGCCCTTTCTCGAGGCTGGTGCACTGCAGTGTCTGCAGAAACCAGCTGTGGCCGGGGTGGCTGCATCCTGACTAGAGGACCATGGGCTGTTGGGGCCAGCAGGGCACAGAGGACGTGCCTGTGGGCAGCTGGGCCACAGCCGCTGGGCCTTGACCATAGGAGGAGGCTGGCCCTGCCGAGGGGGCAGTGCCGTCTGCCCAGTGGTCTCCGCAGAAGGGTCAGGGCACGTGATGTGGCCCACCGTCCCCTGTCGGCAACAGCTGTGGCAAGCGGGCAGGTGTGGGGCGAGGATGGCAGTGAGGGGCAGGTCTCCTGCAGGCCAGGCCCACTGGAGTGTGGGGTGGCCGCCTTGTCGGTGCTGGGTGTTGCTCGGCCTGGTCAGCACGTCAGCCCTGAACCTGACATGCCACTGCAGTGCACCCTCCCCGCTCACTGTGTCACGGCGGCCTGGCGTGAGGGCACAGCCAGGGTTGGGCTGCATGGGCTCCCTGGGCAGGTACCGGTCCTGGCCCGGTGGTCTTTCTGTACACGTGCAGGCGCATGTGTAGTTGCCTGACCCCCAAGAGGGTGTCCAGCTTACAGAATCGAACCAGTTGCCACTTGCTCCCAGAAGGGCGTTTTCCTAGGAGAGGCCTCAGCAGGCCAGGCGTCTTTCCCGTGGACGCGTCTGTAAGCTCTAATGTTAGTGAGGTGTCCTTGGTCACTTGTCCGTGGTGCTGAAAGTGACCCAGGACCAGCTGCTCTCTGAGGCTTGTGCTGAGTTTGGAGTCACACTGGCTGTGTGCTGGCCCGCTGGGAGGCCCCCGGTGTGCCATGCACTGCCAGCCACAGCCGCCCCGTGGGCCTCGAGACATCCTGCCACGGGGTCTGCCAGTGCCCTCCTTGCCGTCTTGGAAGGCACTGGCAGGCAGGGTGGTCGTTCTCGCCTGGCAAGGGGGACCAGCCCTCACAGTGGCCAGTAGTGGTCAGGACCACACCTTCCCCTGTTCCAGGCTTCCTGCTGTCCTGGGAACCCAGCTGTCCACCCCAGACAGAGGTCCTCAGGTTGTCCATGTCCTTGATACCTCACAGGGTGCTAGTCGATGTTCTAGACTCTCACTTCTTGGCACGAGAGGCCTTCTTGTGGTTGTAAAAGTTTCCTCGTGGCCAAGCGTGCCTCCCCTGGCGAGTTAGGTTGGAGTTCTGACTCCCAGTTTGAGTGGGCGGGTGTCGGTGCAAGTTGAGTCTTGTCCCGAGAAAACCTCTGTGGTCGTGTCCCCATGACCCCGCTTCCTAATCCTTGTCCTCTTGATGGTTCCAACAGGCCAGACTGACGCGCTCGGAGCTGTAAGTACTGGTGTATTAGGGTGCAGCGCTCAGTGGTCCCAAAATGAGTGTCCAAGAGCAGGGTTTCCCTTTGGACCTTGGAGCAAGTTTTACGGAAGATGCCCCCCGACCCCCAGTGCCTGGCGAGGAGGGGGAGCTGGTGTCCACAGACCCGAGGCCCGCCAGCCACAGTTCCTGCTCCGGGAGAGGTGCCAGCGCCAAAGGCGAGACTTCCACCGCCACCCCTCGGCGCTCGGACTTGGACCTGGGGTACGAGCCCGAGGGCAGCGCCTCCCCCACGCCGCCCTACCTGAAGTGGGCCGAGTCGCTGCACTCCCTGCTGGACGACCAGGACGGCATCGGCCTGTTCCGGACCTTCCTGAAGCAGGAGGGCTGTGCCGACCTGCTGGACTTCTGGTTCGCCTGCAGCGGCTTCAGGAAGCTGGAGCCCTGCGATGCGAACGAGGAGAAGCGGCTGAAGCTGGCCAGGGCCATCTGCCGCAAGTACATTCTGGACAGCAGCGGCATCGTGTCCCGGCAGACCAAGCCGGCCACCAGGAGCTTCATCAAGGACTGCATCGTGAGGCAGCAGGTGGACCCCGCCATGTTCGACCAGGCGCAGACGGAGGTCCAGGCTGCCATGGAGGAGAACACCTACCCCTCGTTCCTCAAGTCTGACATGTACTTGGAGTACGCCAGGACGGGAGCGGAGAGCCCGAAGGGCCTCGGCGACCAGAGCCCTGGGTCAGGGGCGGGCAAGGGCTTGGCGGGGTACCTGCCCACCTTGAACGAAGACGAGGAGTGGAAGTGTGACCCGGACATAGATGAGGACGAGGGCAGAGACACGGCCCCCCCCAGCAGGCTCACGCAGAAGCTGCTCCTGGAGACGGCCGCCCCGAGGGCCTCCTCGAGCAGACGGTGCAGCGAAGGCAGAGAGTTCAGGTGAGTGCGGCGCGAGGTGCCCGTTCCGTCTCGCCAGGCGGAGAGTGGCGTGGAGCGGTGCTGGGGCAGGTGGCCTTGTCCCTCGCCCGCCTGAGTGTGCTGCTGTCGTGGCCGGCTGCAGTTTGTACCTTTCGCGATGCCTCAGGTTGTCGGCAGATGTGTCTTGCTGGTATTGTCGAGCGTGTTTCCATCAAGAATGGACCGAGGGAACAGCAGGTGGCATGGTGGTTAAGGGTGCTGGACTCCCACATGGCTGACCATGATTTGAGTCCCGGACCTGGAGGCTTGCTTTCTCACTTTTCCTCTCTCTCTGGGAATATTAAAATAATAATAATAAAGTTAAATAAAATGATTGAAAAAAAAAAGAGAACGGACTGAGACGCACGGCTCTGTGAGGGTTTAGGAACATCGGCATTCTTACCGTGTAGCTTCCTTATTGTCAGAAAGCATGTGCGCTTGCAGGGGTGGGAGAGGAAGAGCGAGCGTGCGTACACGTGAGCGTGACCGTGTCCCCAGTGGGGTGTGATGGCGTGGCAGTCCCTTTACCCCGTTTCTCCATCGGGCCAGGATCTGGGGCGTGCGTGCACACCTGGTGTGTTTTCAAGTGGTGGGATTCAGACCACACTCTGCCGTGTGGCATCTCGCTCCCTGTGTGCAGGGCTTAACCACTGTCTTCGGGCTGGCCCGACACTGGCTTCCTGGGAGCCATGATGGCGTTCAGGCTGTACTTTTAGCAGTAGATGCTGGGGGTGGGCTCACCTTGACATGCTCTTTCCGGATTAACGTAGGGCATCGTGGACAGGGAAGCGTGCTGGTACTGAGAGAACAGGGCTGTGTGAGATATCTGTGAGTCTTCCCGGAGCCAGGTGGCAGGGGAGGGTCTGTGCACGACAAGGGCGGTGTGGGAGCACTCCACATGGCGACGCTGGAGGCCCGGCACCGGGTCTGTCTTCCTGCCAGCAGAATGTGGGGACAGCCGTGCAGCGGGGCTCCAAGATGTGCCTGCGGCCTGTGCATGTGACGCCTGGCAGTTGGTGAGGAGCAGAGTGGACCATGCCCGTCCTGGCTGGGACCCGGCTCTCGGCCCGTCTCCCCTGAACGCCCCTGCAGGCTGTGGAGTGCCTGGCTGCTGTCTTGGTTCCTGTCAGCTTGGGAGCCATGCGGTGCGCTTCCGTCTCCCCAGAGCTGGCACCTGGAGAATCCAGCCTGTGGAACTTGAAAGCATGGAGTCTGTTGTGACCCTGCAGTTTAATCAAGAGTCTGAAGCACATCCCCAGGGTTGGGGATCTCCTACAGGACTATTAGAAACTCTGATTGAGGGGCCAGCGGGTGGCGTGGTGGTTAAGGGCGCTGGAGTCCCACATGGTCGATTGTGGTTCCAGTCCCAGACCTGGCAGCTTGCTTTCTCACTTGGCCTCGCTTTCTCTCACGCTATTCCTCTCCGGTAAAATGAAGTTAAATAAAATAATTCTTTTTTTAAAAAAAGCTCTGATTTACTCTTCAAGCTTGCTGGGACAGAGAAATTGGCTACTTGCTAATAAAAAATAACATTAACTGGGACCAGCAGAGGGCGTAGTGGCTGCATCGCTGGACTCCCACGTGGCGGATTGCGGTTTCAGTCCCAGACACAGTGGCTTGAAACTCAGGCTGGGCGCGTGTGGTGCATGCCCAGGACCCTGGGAGGCGAGGGGCTGCAGCATGGCCATCTGCCCTAGAGGGATCTCTCACTTTCCCTCTCTGTGTCCCCCTCATGCAGGCACTCTAAGGCAAAAAAAAACCCCAAAACAAAAACTCTTAAAAAAAAAAAAAAGCATCAAGTGTTTTTGAAGTTTAAACTCAATTACCTTAAATTATTTGATTCAGGAAGGACTGTTGGAGGTGACTTTTCATTCCATTTGCTCACCATCTTTAACCAAATGCTATTGATTTGCCAAATTTCTCAGGAAAGAGCATGCCATGAACTTATCCCAAGTAAGTCTGATGATCTCTAAACCCTGAGCCTAAGTTCCCCTGACTGGGGTCACATCTAATACGGCAGGACACTGGAGGGGAGGGTGAGCTCAGACCCCTCCCTGCACAGCCATCAGCCCCAGCTCAGCCCATCGGTCCTGGGGGCTGGCAGCAGTCCTTCCTGCAGTCCAAGACTCTGGCAGGTCCTGTGAGGTGGAATCTGGTCTAAGTTCCAGCCTTGACAGGGTCTCCTCGTGTGTGACCCTCTCCCCGGCCCTCTGGGTCGTCTGGGTCTTAGGCATGTGCACACCTGGCCAGAGCCTGACACCATGCGGCTCCCAGCCCTGCTGTCCAGCTCGCTCCAGCTGGGCCACCAAGCTGGGCCACCGTGGCGCTTGTGGTGGGCGCCTCCTGCCTTCTGCATCCCCGTCAGCAGCGACAGGCCGTGTGGGTCACGGGGTCCCCCTGCTGGTTCTCGAGTGGGCAGTGGGGCAGCAGGAGACTGGCCCTCTCGGGCTAGAGCGAGGGACTGGCTTAGCTCACGAGGGTTTGGTTGGGACTCCAGCCCCCTGTCCTCACTTGACTGGCTTCCTGGTGGCCAGCTCACGGACTCCCACATGCTGAGGCAGCTGGCGTGGCCAGCTTGGGCCACGGATGCTGCAGTGTGAGGGAAGGCGTGCTGCTCGAGGCCCACCCCGGCAGTCACGTGTACCGGGCTCAGCCCGCTCAAGGCCACTGGGCAGACTGGGGCCACCTGCAGGGCAGCGTGGCTGGCCCTTCCTCACTGGGAAGAGTGGCCCTAACAGGAGACTCGGGCTCCCAGTGGGGAGGGAGTGGGGACGCCTGCTGGCGAGGGAGCAGAGACACAGGTCTCCCCGTCGGGGGAGCAGGGACATGGGTCTCCCCGCTGGGGGATGGGGGGACAGGGACGTGGATCTCCCCGGTGGGGGAGCAGGGACAGGGACGTGGGTCTCCCCGCCTGGAGAGCAGGGACAATGCAGCGGGCTCAGGATGCCATGCCATGGGAGGTGCCTCAGGGAGTGTCCTGGCCACCTTGGCTGGGGCCCAGGTGCAGTGGCCTTGCCTGCACTCTCACCTGGTGGTCTGTCTCCCCTGGCGGGAGCCGGCACCAAACTCAGGTGTCCCCCGTCTGCTGACAGGAGGCTTGAGTGGGCCCCACCAGCCGGTATGTGTGCAGATGCCTTCATGTGATTGACTTGAGGAAAGTAAAATGAGTCTTTAAGGCATGTATGCTCACCAGAGAGACAGAGAAGAGAAGAGAAGGCGCCTCCCCGCGGTGTATGGCCACCCCACAGTCCCTCCTCTGTCTCCCTCCTGGGACTTTGGGCACACATGCACACACGCCCAGCTTGTTCCTCATGCTGCCAGATCTAGGTCTCAGACTGCACAGCTGGCCACGTGGGATCTGGCTGCCTGATCACCAGACCACAGAGACAGTCCCCACCCAGTATTTATCTTTTTTTCAAGGTTTTTGCTATAGGGCATGCATGCTTACTGGAGAGAGACAGAGATAGAGAGAAGGAAAGTGAGAAATCACCCCTTAGGGATTCAGGACTGGAACCACTCTTGGTCATATGGGAGTCTAGAGCCTTAACCACCATACCACCTGCTGGCCCCAACCCAAAAATTGTTTTAAAGTTTATTTATTTAAAAAATTATTTTATTGAGACCAGCAGTTGGCATAATGGCTATGTCGCTGGACTCCCATGTAGTCGACTGTGGTTCAAGTCCTGGACCTGGTGACTTAAACTCATGCCGGGCACGTGTGCATGTGTGCCCAAGATCCCGAGAGGAGACTGGAGGAGAAGGGATTGCGGCGTGGCCATCCCCCGGGGCGGGGGGGGGGTGATTTCTCACTTTCTGTCTCTCTGTCTCTCTCTCTCTTTCTGGCGAGCGCACGTGTCCTGTAGCAAAAACCTCTCCAGAAAAAAAAAGTGAGAAAGGTAACTCCAGGCCCAGGACTGGAACCATGGTCAGCCGTGTGGGAGTGCAGTGTCCATAACCACTCCACCTGCCAGCCCCTGTTATTATTATTTTTAAATCTGCTGTAGGGCACCTGTGAGACAGAGCGCCAGGAAGTGGAAGAGCCGTGGTAACTGCTGGCCTCCAGCAGCTGTCCTGCTCACCCGCAGTCGCTCTGAGCCCCCGGGCCGGGCTGCAGGCTTCCTCCCTGACCCCTGTGCGTTGCCTTCGGGAGAACCCCTGGCTCGTCCTAGTGGGACTTTGAGTGCAGTTTGGCCGGCTCACGTCTGAGTGTGGGCTGCTGTGAGTGCGCAGGCTCCTGGCGTTGCAGAGTTGGCGTTGGCCTGGGCACCACAGCACCTCAACTGCAGCCTCAGGGTTGTGCCCCCAAGGCTGGCCAGGCCTTCCAGGGCCCACCAGAGGGTGGCCTCTCCGCCTCTGTGGTTGGCTAGGCCTGCCGCTCGCTGGCTTTGGCGCTGTAGGCACAGCGCTCCCTGTGTCTCTGTAGGCTGCACCCACTCCCTGGGGGGCGGCCCCTAGGACGGGGTCTTACTGTCGTCTCTGTGTCTTCCTGGGTCCAGTCCATCAAGAGGCTCCTGCTCGTGGCTATGCCAGAGAATGGACTAGGGTGGCCGTGGCGTGGCGGGGCTCCCAGAGCCCAGGGCTGAGCTGCGTGGGAGAACGTGGGTCCTGCAGGCGGCAGTCAGCCCTGCCCCCCAGTCCCCGCCAGCAGGCAGCAGGAAAGCTGTGCAGTGCAGGCGGGGAGGGAGCCAGCAGGTCCACGGGACGGGGGCTGTGCTGTGCTGCGCTCCCCAGGCGGTAGAGCTTCACCGTGTGGGGGTCAGGGCTCTCCACAGCTTCGAGCATGTACTCGGGGTCCTGGAGATTCTGCTCCAAGGACTGGGGGCTGCTGTTTTTCTGGTAATGGTCAAGAGAAAAAATTTGTTAAAAAAATAGACAAAGAAATGAAAAGATCAAGAGAAGGAATTGTTAGAGGAGTGTCATGGTGGGAGCCGGCAGGTGGCGCGGTGGTTAGGGCTGTGCACTCCCGTGTGCCATGGTGGGGG